ACATTTCCCGGAATGTGGAGGAAGCTCATCAAAGGTCACGATGTGTATAATAATGCTGCATAATTGAGATTGCCCTGAAGGCCACGTTTGTACTTTCTTCTCTGGGCCGAAGAGCTGGTGATGGGGGCAAGGATGGTAACAATGGCCATTAGAACTCACTCTCTCCCTGAACTTTCAGAGAACCACCTTTCATACGTTATATGTTTCAGATTATATTTGAAAACTGAAGCTTGGCTGAATATATAAATAGAAGTCTAGGGAGCTATTGTCTTTCTCTGTCTTCTGAGTGTGGTCAGGTCTTCTCAGTAATCTTACGAACAATAAATAGTTTAATTTTTTTCTTTTTCTAAGAGTCAGTCTGAGGTGTAGATGAACTTCTCATGTGGCTAAAGCTTGTATATCATTGTAATAAGAGACTGTCATTAAAAACTTTCTAGAAACAATTTCTTAATGTATACATGCTGAGGAAAGTAAATTAATCATACATGCCAGCTATTTAATATTGTAATTGGGTGTATTTATAGATGCATCATCGATGTGACACCAACACTTATTGGCAATGGATACATCATTAATGATCATTGATACTCTGAGGATCTTGCTTCAGTCTTATTAATGCTTTATTGTGGAAAGGTGGAAAGTTCATTAGACCGTATGTATATGCATATGGGTATATATAATATATGTATTTTTAGGCTAAGATAAATATTTCTACATTTTCTTTCTTAGCTGTTTTCACAACATAAAATGATGCTCTTTTAGAGCTTTAGAGAGAATAAAGAATGCCATTGGGGAAGAAGTGCATTGTAAGGAGGGAGATGGGGGTCATGTGAGGGAAAGGGGCAGAGGGACAGTGAGAAGGAGAGGTCAGCGGAGCTGTGTGTGAGAGACCTGAGCATGACCTGAGGGGCACTTGAGGCCCTTGCCTCACCAGTTACCTCTCATCGCTCCTTCAGTATCACTACACAAAGTTCAAAATTAAGTAGAAGCCAAGGTCAGACAGGACTAGCAGGAGGCTGTTTTCTTTCCATTACAGTAAGATCTTCTTTCTTCATTCAGCTCTTTATTGCTTTGTTTTGTCTTTCCACTGCTTGAAGCTGTTGCTGTGTTATCTGTGGAGTAGAAACAGTATCTCTGATTTTAGAACTAGAACCCTGGTCATATACGAATGAGCACAAAGGTGGTGCTATCCATGCTTTCAAGGGCAATTCATCTATTAGGCTAACACCCATGGACTCATCTTTCCAAAGAAGAAAAAGAAAAAAAAAACACATTGTCTATGATTCTGTAACTTCAGGGTTATTTTACTAACTAGATAAAACCCTTTAAAATTAGACTTTAAATAAATCTTATTTCATTCTGATTAATTTGAAGAAAAAGCACTGGTTTCTACAGAACTTCTTTCTCCAATAGATTATTTGTGTGCAAAATTTAGAAGAACATATTAAGTTATTTAGGAATGTGAGTACTTGGTGGGGGATGGGCAGTGTAGCTTCTATTTTGTTATGCTGTTTAGTTTTAATGCCAAATTGTTTTATGAAAATCACATTGTCATGAATCACTCATGCAGAATCTATTTGGTTGTAGGCCATGTTGGTTTACATTAATATTATTTTCATTATTGAATAAATCAGGATCTTTTCAGAGGTTTAATAATCTGGTTTTTTTTAATTTTTATTGATTTATAATCATTTTACAATGTTGTGTCAAATTCCAGTGTTCAGC